TGGTTTCCGGCCCACAGTCAGACCTCCGCCACCCTGCCAGCTGATGGTCTCAGCTGCAGAGCAAGCAGCCCTCACACTCTGTCCTGCCTGTGTCCGTCCTTCCTAGGCCCCCCGGGGATGCCAGGGCAGGATGGAGCCAGGGGCCTCCCCGGAGAGAAGGGGTTACCCGGCCTGCCAGGGCCCCCAGGGCGCCCGGGCCTCCCTGCCCCCGTGGGGCCGACGATATCCCGCGTTCCTGCCACGCGTAAGTAGCTGGGAGGGGGATGGGCTGGAGACGCGCAGTTGAGTGAAGTGCATCTGCTCTCTGCCCCCAGGCCCCACCCCACAGGGCGTGGGCTGGCGCTCAGCGTGCTCCTGCGCTGCGGCCCCGGGCCAGGCTGGTGCTTTGCACGTGGCTCACACCCAGCCTGTGGCGCTCGCTGCCCCTGGCTCCCAGCCTTCCCGCTCTGCGGGTGTGGGACGGAGCGCTCCTCCCTCAGCGGAGCCTGTGCCCTTCAGACCGCTGCTCCAGTCAGCAGCAGGGACGCTGAATCCCGCCGCAGCTCAGGAGAGCGAACGCGGATCCTCTGCGCTTGGCCACGCACACGGGTCTGGAGTCTGGCGTGTCACACGGTTCTGGAGTCTGGCGTGTCTCGGGCAGAGGGGACACGAGTCACCTCCGGGCAGTGGGGAGCCGAATGCCCCTTCTGAGCCCTGCCCAGCCCTTGTCCAGAGCCCAAACAAGCCAGCCCCGCCCGGCAGCCGCCTCTAATCTTTGCTCCCTCCATGTCCCAGGGGACCCAAACAGCTTCACCGACTCCAGCAGCGGAGGCGTCATGGGGCCTGCGGGGCCCCCAGGCCCTTCCGGGCCAATGGGTAAGTTCCCCTGGTCCCCGCTGGAGCCCTGATGGCCAGTGACTCCGTCCAGTGGTGGCTTCCCTCGGGTCCCCCCACCCCAGTGCTGGCAGGGGGCTCTGAGTGGGGCAGAAGCCTCCCCAGGACATGCTGAGTGTGTCCTGCCCCTCTCGTTCCAGGTCTCCTGGGCCCCCCAGGACCAGCCGGGCTGCCAGGCCCACCGGGGCGCGATGTAAGTGCTGTCTCGGGGGGAGGGCAGGGGCACAAGGAGATGCCATGGGGGGGCAGGGGGGCCCAGG